GTAGCATTTGCCCATTTCTGTGGTGTAAATACCTCCATTATGGCCAATCATAAGCTGCCAACATGATGCCCTTGAATACAGAGTTGGGATGAGATGTGCACAATCAGCCCCCCAAACCTGTGTGGGCCAACTCCCATGCATCTTTTAAGACTTCAATTTCCCATCAATGAAGGCCTCCACAGTGCATATATACTGCCACCCACTGACAAAAGAGGACTACAGGCCCACATGAATTGCCCTCAACATTTATTGGCCACTTAATTCATGAAATATGTGAAAGCACTAGTTGCTAGGTGCAATGGGAGATATCTAAAAAGAGGAAAAACTTACATCCCAACCACACAAAGAGTATAGTGTAATAGTGCTGTACGGAGATATACTAAATATGGTAACTAACTGAATGCTGAAATGCACTCTCAGTTTGTAGAAAATCAGTGATGAGGGGAGCCTGGGTGGCTCAGTGGGTTAAGCATCCAACTTTGGCTCTGGTCATGATCTCACGATTCACGAGTTTGAGCCCCACATTGGGCTCTGTGCTGACAACTCAGAGCCTGGAGCCTGCTTCAGATTCTGTATCTCCTTCTCTGTCTGTCCCTCCCCCACTCGCTCTCTGTCTCTCTGTCTCAAAAATAAATCAACATTAAAATTTTTTTTAAAAAAGAAAATCAGTGAGATTATATATTATAGCTTTCTCTCATTTTAAAAAAGGTATGTAAATATGAAATTCTAAGTAGTTTGTATATAAATCTCAAACTAGAGTAAAACATACTTAGAACTAAAAAACAAAATAGAAATTATTTGATATCTATGAAAGTTTTACTTTACTATTAACTGTTCCCATTTTGACCTAGATTTTATATCCCCTTCAACTGTAGGAAAGATTTTCTATTTATATAAAACCATCCAAATGACTGCACATTCTCACAGAACCTTAATTATCAGATAGAAGCAGGTTACAGAAACTGGGTGGGTAATGAAGACCCAAGATGGTGATTTGTGGCCTAAATTCCAGCCATTGCTTTGGGTACTTGTCATTTGCTTCTTTCTGATTAGATTCTCGAGGCAAGGGTCAAAAGTATTTATTTGAGGTTTATGGTAATTTAGAGATAAAGAAGACTGATAATATTTTGGCAAAAAGAGAAAGCTTCAGTAGATGTCTGATTTTTGCACAAAACCAACTCCTATAATAAAAAGAAATAGATATGATACTCATTATTGCTAACAGTAATCATAACAATGCTCTTAGGTTACAAAGTTTGGCTTCCCTAGGAACCAAGAACACCTCTTGGGAATTCCAGACCATTCACCTTTGGATAGACCTCTGTCTTACATGTATTGAATCAGGGTCCAAGATGAAAGGTCAAAATGAAGTGGGTTCTTAGAAGTGTTGCCATCTGTGACAAGGTGTGAACAGACTTCCAAACAGCAATGTTAATGACATTCCTTAATCTTGAGGTTATTTTTTTCCCCATCAGAAGTCTTTGGATTATTGAAAAATATTCTATTTTTATTCTCTGATTCTCAGAATAAGGTTAGTAAAGAGGATGTTAGAATTCAAAATTAAGTTTTTACATGTTTTGCCTCTCCTTTAAACTGATAGATTTGTGGCACCTGGGTGGCTCAGTTGGTTGAGCCTCCAACTTCGGCTCAGGTCATGATCTCAAGGTTCATAAGTTTGAGCCCCACATCAGGTTCTGTGCTGTCAACACAAAGCCTGCTTCGGATCCTTTGCCCCCCACCCCCACCCCAGCTCTACTTCCCGCCCCTCAGCTCTCTCTTTTCTTCTTCTCTCTCAAAAACAAATAAACATTAAAAAAAAAAAAAAAAAAAACCTGATAGATTTATTAGAGTCCTAGGATATTGGGCTTGTTTTAGTTGGTATCCTCAAAATCTTAATCAGATATTTAATGTTAAGCTTCTCAACCAGCTACCACATTTATAATTATTGACAAAAGTCCCCTTTCTTTATTTATTATCAATATGTTTAAAACTCAGCGTTAATAAACGGCGGATTCATAATCTAATCTAGGTAAATGGTATAACTTCTGATTTCCTGATTCTTACGATATCTGAGAAATACTTTTAAAGAATATCTCAGCCTGCTCAAAATTGTGAACATATTTCAGGGGAATAGATGTAGCGCTTGATCTTTGAATGGAAATATTGTCTCTCTATATTCCAGCCAGGAAACAGATTCTTTAGCAAGAAGTCTAGGGGCCCGGTGGGCCTGGTAGTAATTCTCGCCTATAGGAAGGTGGTTAAGAATCTTGAAGAACCACTTATCTGCTTTTCAAAGTGGAATTTCCTATTTCAAAATTATCCCATGGAAGTAAATCTTGGCCCAGATTACATCTTGAATATCCCTAGTTCAGAGGGTTGGAGGGATTTTCTTAAGCAGAAACTGGAATGAAGTATACCCAAGTTTAGTTGGGAAAGAAATGCTAGCAAATGAAATGACATTGTCTGAAATGGCTACCTTGTTTTGTTCACTGCTTATCCCTAATAATCTGGCACAGAGCCCAGAGCCCTGCACAGAGCAGTTGCTCAATATGTATGAGATGAATGGCTGATGGAATGAATGGAGATTTACATCTGAACTTTGTGCCTTGTACTAGAAAGGAAACAATCCTATTCATGTAAATCTAGTTTTGAGTTCATAACTGTAAACATTACTTAGTATTAACAAATCATGTCTTTCTTTTTTCTTATTCTCAGTATTTTCTATACAAATTTCCTGATGATGTGGACTCAGTTATTATTAAAGTCAGGTCTGAAATGGCTTATCCATGTTCTGTTGTCTCAGTCCAGAATATCATGGTGAGTCTTAATAACTTGTCAGTTTTTCAATATGGAGCATTATGTTGTCACAGGGTAAATGAAAGAGAAGGGTGGGGACTATGTTGTCCTCTTACTATGTATCTCCTGCAAAACTGTTAAATAATAAAAACAGTATCTTGTACACACAAGTGGATTGTCTGTTTGGAGACATTGATTTGGGGAGATAGAGAATAGTTGACTCCTCACCAAAATAAGCAATGGAAAGAAGGGAGGGAGGATTATGACAAAGAATAAGGAAGACCAAATTGTGGGCTGCACAAGAAATATCGAAACCTATCATTTATTCTGTTTTAAAAGTCTTACTCTAACAATGGGCCCTTTTCTGCCTCAAATGTGTTAATAAAAAATGGGAAAGGTGTTATATACTTGAAGACCATCTTTTCAGTTCTTTTTGATATAAAGTGACCTTTAGAGGACTTTAGAAGGCAAGGCACTAAGCTTTAGGAGGACTGTTTCATGACTTTCCTCAGAGAAAACTTTTCATGCTTTCTGGCTTAGTAAGGAACCCCTTGCTCTGTGATCCTCTGGGTAGAATGTGTGTTGTGTGTAGTATGGCTTTAGTGATGCTTTCCTTTTTATCCTTCATGCATGTTGTAGTGCCCAGTATATGATCTCGACCACAATGTGGAATTTAATGGTGTCTATCAGTCCATGACCAAGAAAGCTGCCATTACACTGCAGGTGAGACATCACTTTGGTGGTCACTATTGTCAAAGACAATGCACAGTTTATAGTCAGGTTACCTGCTGGATGAGCATTCAAAACGTATTGTCATTCACTGTGTCCTTGGATCTCTTTCCTTTATGATTGGCTTTAAACCAAGGATTCCTACTCCTGAAATCAAAGACCAGGCCATGGTGGACAATAGTGCTCTGCCAGGGGCCCCATTCCCCTTAGGGGGTCTTGGGAACCCATGATGCAGTGGGACATATATCTGACAGATTGCTTAGAGAGGTAAGGTGAGATGCCAGTGTACTTATTGGGAGATGCCGATTTAGTGCAAAGTTTATCTGATCCATTTAAAGTAATTAAACATATTCTAATACTCTGTATACCTGTAACAGTATCCAAAAAAGGACTTCAACTCTGGACAGAATGGATAGGTTCAAAGGAATATGGACCTCATGTGTACGGCCATTTGCCCTTTTGTTATTTGTAATTAAATTATTTCAATGGTAATTTTATAGCAAAAATGATTTTCAAAAAGATTCTGTCCCTGCCTTTAAGGTGGTATTTACTTAAGGTACCTACAACTTCATCTGTTCTCCAAAGTAAGGTGATACTGTCTACTAAAGGACAAAGAACGAGGGCTTCTGGGTGGCTCAGTCGATTAAGCTTCCGACTCTTGGCATTGGCTCTGGTCATGATCTCTCGGTTTGGGGGATCAAGCCCTGCATTAGTCTCCACGCCATCAACGTGGAGCCTGCGTGGGATTCCCTCTCTCTCCCTCTCTGCCCCTCCTTTGCTCACACTCTTGCTCTTTCAAAATAAATAAGTAAACATTTAAAAAAAAAAAAAGAACAAAAAATGAGGATTTAGCTATCAAATGTAAAAACTTCTCTTAGGCTTTGATTTCCTAGTGCCTCAGTTTTGATAATCCCACATCTCTGCTCCTGTTCACTTGTGAATAAGGAGACTGGGACACAGAGAAGCACACTTAGAGAAAGTCAAAGCCAGGACTATAACGCAGGTCTCACTTTTGCATCCCTAACCTAAATTATTTAACTGTGACTGTGTGACTGTTAGGAAAGTCATGTATCATTGGATTTTCAAATAATAAAACCTGAACATAGTGAACCCAAAACACACTAAAAATAAAGTATGTTAATTTTAAAAATATAAAGTACAAGTATTATTATTAAACATAGGCTGTTGACATATTTTTTTACATGGGGCCTATTACAGTTCTAAGCACATAAGTGGGCACAAGATAGATTGAGATTAGAATAGTGTACCTGTTTAATTTTTTGGATTTAACAATTATTTTATTGTGGCTAAACTCTGGAGTAGATCATAGGTATCTGAAAGTTCTTTCTAAGAAACTAGGGGCAAGGGCGAACTTTACTTTTCTTCTCTTTCATCTCTTTCTGCTCCCACCCCCACCACCATGGACTTTCTCCCCTCTTGCTATCCTTTCTTGCTATCATAAGTTGTTATGTCTTATGCAGAAGAAGGATTTTCCAGGCGAGCAGTTCTTCGTGGTATTTGTGATAAAGCCTGAAGATTATGCCTGTGGAGGATCTTTCTTTATCCAGGGTAAGAGATAGTGAGGAATGTTTGCGACTTAGAAAAACCTAATGAAATGGAAGAGAAGGGAAGCCAAAAGCTCCCCATGGCCCCTTACTACCATCTCTAATTCTCATTAGGGATCATCAGCAGTAACTTGCAAGGCAGTCTGAAAGATCCTTGAAAAAAAAAAAAACAACATAGGGAAGAAAATGATAAATCTAAAAGGATTACTGATACTACAAAATGTCATTTAGTGCACTACATCTTTTCAAAGTCTTGGGCTCTATCAGACCATGTGAGGTATATTCACTCAGTTTGCCTTTTACTCAACAAATATTTGCTGTTGTGAAATAATGATTTTATGTAGCATATCAAGGTCCACTGTCTAAGACTGGTTTGGTAGCCAGCAGTAATGGAGCCATTTGTGTTAATCAGTAGTCCTCATTTCCACAAGGACATACAAGAAAAATTCAGAGTTCTCAATTTCAGTTGCCAAAATTATACCTTGCAAGATAGTAAGAAAGCAAAGCAGGACCATTTATCCCAATGACAGGGACTGTGTGTAATACCCTTAGGCATAGTACAAATGGCTATGGCTAACTACCCAGTCACTACTGTGGGAATGCAAGAGGCTATTGATTGAAAACACAGACCCCCAGCAGCTGATGAGCCACATTTGATCAACACAGAGGGTGTTTAATGTTCAGTATAATATGGTTCTCTTGACATTCAGGTGAGATGTATTCTTCATGTATTCTTTAATCTCTTGATTACCTAACTCTAGAGTTTTGCCAGTGTCCAATGTTCTTTGACAAACTACAAGTCATTTTATGACTATGTAACAAAAAAATTTTTTTTTCACTGGCTAGAATAATGCAAAGCAAAAGACAAGACAGCTTTCTATTTTTGTAGCCATTTTCTTCAGATGTCTATGGCATATTGGGCCACATGGATATCAGAGGATGAGTCAAGCTTTCTTTACTCAAGAAGGGAGGCTACAGTCTCACTTCTTCAATACTACCAAAAATGCAGTGAGGCAAAGGCTATCGTGAAAGTTTAGCCAAAAGCCATATTAGATAGTTTGCAGCTTTGGGAGTTAGGTTTTCCTCTAGTTCTTGCTAAAAGAAAATTCAACAACCAGAGCTAATTGTGGACAGTTTTTGAACAACTGTTCAGATGAGAGGCCAAGAACCAAGTATCTGATCTATTTTGCCTTTTTCTTTTTTACCAGAAAAGGAGAACCAAACCTGGAATCTACAACGAGCAAAGAACCTTAAAGTGACCATTGTTCCTTCCATTAAAGGTCAGTATTGGCTCTAGGAGTCCATGGAAAGATTTCTATGTCCGAAGGCAATCATATACTTCAACACTAATGTCATCCTTCCAGAGAAACATCATAAGAAAACTAATATTTACCTTGGAGATAGAAGAGAGAATCAAAGCATGTTGTTAAATCTCTTCCAGAAAGAAAGGGAACTCAATTATGACGTTGTATACAGGAAGTCCCTTCCTGGCTTCCATTGGGAAGTCATCACTGTGATAGTTAGCCATTTGTGGAGAATGTCTGGGTGACCTCCAGTAGCTTTGCTGCTTTGAATGGAATTATATTAGGACTTAAGAGTGGGTGTGATGGAGATGAGCCCTTGAAGCCATCCTGTCCTGAACATGGTTCTCTTTTTTCCTGAGGACACCCTGACCAAAGTTGTTTCTCTTCCCACAGAAACTATTTATGTGAAATCCATCCTTCTCAGTTTCCTCATCTTCTTCTCCTTCTACTTGGGATGCCTGCTTATTGCGTTTGTTCATTATATCAGGTAGGTCAAGAGTATCAAGAAATGTTAACCCCCTTTGTCTCTCTCTGTGTGGTGAGTAGAGCATTAGGCTTTACAGCCATATTGACCAGATTCAACTCTACCTCAACCACTAACTGTGTGACCTTGGGCTAGTTACTTAACCTCTCTGTGCTTCAGTTTCCTCCTCCTCAAAAATGAGATAATAATTTACCTCATAGAATTGTATAGCTGCAGTGTTTATGTCAATGTCCTGCACAGAGTGAGTACTGTTTAGAGTATTAGTTATTTTCATAGTTAATAAAACCTCAACAGAAAGACAGCTTGGGTATTTTTTTGGATCAGGAAATACTGTAAACCCTATGGAATGTAGGAAATGAGGAGTTCTTCCTAATATGGAGATTTAGGAACAGCTTTAAAAATTCCATCAACAAGTAAATTTAATGTCTAAAATAAACCTTGAGGTATAATAAATAGCAGGAGTGATCTGCTTTGATATTGCATTGCCAAGTGCTTTCTTACTATTATAGCATCAATTTTCCAGTAAAATGTCCCTTGAAGGAAAAAAAAAAGGAAATGATTATATTGTAATTTGACTAAGACAATTTCCCTTCCCAAGAGATTGGAGCCCCTAATAAAAAGAGCTCCAGTTTTTCCTGGTGTCTCTGAGCAGGCCCAAACATTGAAAATTCTGTACTTTGTTGTGGTCTCTGTGAAGCAACTACAAAAGAATGGCAGAAGGCCTACAATAAACAAATGTTCTTTCCCCTCTTGAACATCTGAAGAAAACAAAGCCAGCCCAGAGTTTTCAGACTATTGGGCAATTTAACAGCATCAGTAGAAAAAAATAATTCTCTTCTGTGACTTTACAAAGCTTTTCAGTTGAGAAATTGAATTTTAAAACCCTGGGACTACCATTAACCATATCTAGAACAATCTGAGCATCAGAATACTTAAGGAGAGTAATAAATTATAAACCATTGAGAAAAGTAGAAATTCATGAATCCATATTGATGGGAGAAGGAAGGAAGGAAGGAAGGAAGGAAGGAAGGAAGGAAGGAAGGACCTAAATATCTCCAGATACAATCCAAAGTCAATAAAACAGGTATACATTGAGGAAGCGAGTCATTAGCAAATGCCCACAGTATAAGGAAGAACTCTTGCCTACATAAGAATGCCAAAAACTGACTGGAAAAAATGGAGGGAGTCCTGGAATTGGAAAATCATCATCTTGCGTATATCAGGCTAAGAATAATTAGTGGATACTAAAACTAAGAGGAAAATCTGATGAAAATCAAAATATGTGCATGACCATAAAGTGTATCCCCAAGAGTTGCTTAGTTATTCTAAGGGAAAACATAGTAACTATACAATGGAGAACTCAGACAAGGATTGACTGAGTGATCAAAATTAATGTGAGCAAGGGGAAGGTAAGACACTGTGTGCCTCCACATGTGACAACCTGAGGACACAGCACTACTCATGCAGTATTCCAGCCAGAAATACATATTTTGAATATAATCCTGAGGAAAAATCGAACTAACCCAAAATGACAAGCATTCTATTAAAGACAAATGAAAGGCTGTGCAAATGATCCAGATTGAAGGAGACTAAAGAGATATGGGCAACTAAAGACAACACCTGGTCTCAGATTGGATGTTTTACTAGAAGAATATACTATAACAGACATTATTGGGTCAATTGACAAAATTATAATACAGACAGATTAGAGTATCTTATCAATGTTAGATTTGCTGAATTTGACAACTATACTATGGTTAGGTACGAGAATATCTTTATTCTTTGGAAATATTTAGGGCGCCTGGCTGGCTCTGTCAGTAAAGCATGTGACTCTTGATCTTGGGGTTGTGAGTCAAGACCCACATTGGGCATAGAGCTTACTTTTTATTTTTTTAATTTTTTTTTTTAACGTTTATTTATTTTTGGGACAGAGAGAGACAGAGCATGAACGGGGGAGGGGCAGAGAGAGAGGGAGACACAGAATCGGAAACAGGCTCCAGGCTCTGAGCCATCAGCCCAGAGCCCGACGTGGGGCTCGAACTCACGGACCGCGAGATCGTGACCTGGCTGAAGTCGGACGCTTAACTGACTGCGCCACCCAGGCGCCCCAAGAGCTTACTTTTTAAAAACGGAAATATTTAAGAGTAAAAGTTCATGACATATGCAACTTACTTTCAAATGGTCCAAAAATTATATATAATATATATATAACATATATATAGTTATATACATATACACACATACAGAATGATAAAGCAAATGGGATAACATGCTAACAAATGAATCTAGATAAAGCATATGTGAGTATTCTATATTTTATTCTTATTCTTACAACTTCTCTGTAAATTTGAAGTTATTTTCTAATAAGAAATTAAAAACAAAAACCCCAGTTCACAGGCAAATATATCTTGAAAGTATATACATTAACTGATTATCAGCCCACTTAATTTATTAGATCATAATCACTGACATTTACTAGGCACCGTGATTATCTGAGATTATCTCAATTGATGCCCTACAATAAGCACTAGTATTATCACCATTTGACAGTTAAGGAAATTGAGGCACAGAGAGGTGAAGCAGTTTGACCACAAATTCACAGCCAGTAAATGAGGGAGCTGGGATTTGCCTGGATTTCCAGGCAACGTGGCTCCAGAGCCTTACCGATGAAGCAGGCTGGTCAATACAGGTCTGGAGTGGTAAGGGCATGCGAGAGAGGGCAGTCCTGATCAAGGGGGCCAGACCAAAAGCCTGGTACCCCAGCATGGATTCGAATGGAAAAGGATCCCAAAAGCTGTCAATATGGACTCAGATGAACTCCAAGATCATGGAAAAAGAAGTTCATCTCTTATGCTCTCTTAGGAAGACTGTCTCTACTCCTGATGTTTTAGATTTTAGAAAATAGGATTTCACTTCTTTAGTTAGCTAGCATGCATAATCAGCATACAGACAAAAAAAGTAGAGATGGATATCAATGTCCCTGACATTGTCATGCAGCTACAGCAGGAAGCACAGGTTTTGAAAGCTGTGGTATAAGGCTTTGTTGAAACCTCTGGCTGCCAGGTTATTTTGCTATAGTCAATCGCACAAGCATAGATTCTTCCCAAATATAGCAAAAGTGAAAATTGAAATCTGGAGACATAAGAACCATTTGGCATTCTAAATAAAATAATAGACTGAGGAAAAATGCTAACAGAACTCTTTCTCATTGAACTAAGCAAAAATAACAAAGTTTTCTACAGAACCAAATGAAACTAGTCCTGGAGCATAACACCATTTGCTTGATAAGTTCTCTGTACTTTATTATTAGTACACATGGGATTTGTAGTACATGCTATGAAATTAGGATGAAAATATGGATAAGAGACATGGCCCTGCTCTCAGGAAGCTAAGAATCCAAAGTATTAGCTATACTGGCTTGAATCTAAACACCATCCCCCTCCCATTGCCAGCCACAATCCATTCAGCAAGTATGTAAGGAGTCACTACAATAAATGTGCAGGACCGGGGCCAAACACTGGATACATGTTCTCTTATTCATTTCTTTCAACCACCCTACCAGACATTGAGTTCAAACTGCACAACCCTGAGTACTCATCCCTCCCTTGATTCTTGCATCAGTTATCTGTGGCCACAATAATGCTGCATAAAAATCAACCATAAAAGCTCCAATGGCATACAGAAATAGTTAAGTTTACTTACAAATCTCTGGGCCAGCAGGATGACACTGCTAATCCGGACTGGGCTCAGAGGTCGCAGTTGGGTGTGGCTATAGAGTGCTATCACCTGGCGTCAGCTAGGCGCTGGCTCTTCTAGACCAGCCTCAGCTGCACGTGGTCTCCCAAATTCCAGCAGGCTAGCCCTTGTTTGTTGTATCGCCAAGAGAGATAGCAGAAGACTTTAAGGCCTCCTTAAGATGTAGGTTCAGAAGTGGCATGATATCACTTCTCCTTTCTATTAGCCAAAACAAGTATGAGGACAGTCCAGACTCAAGAGGTGAACACACTAACTCCACCTTTTGATTTAAGGAGCTAAATACAAGATGAGGTGTAGCCATTTTGCAATCAATCTAGGAGAGTTCTCATTTACGATCTTCTCCTTTGCTCACTGGATACAGTCTGACTCAGCCTAGCTTTCTAAATCATTTAACCTCTACTGAAGAATCTTATCAGCTCCTAAATCTATAGCAAATGTGGGTACAGCCTGTTAGCACAAACACATCATTTTTTCTTTTAATGTTTTATTTATTTTGAAAGAGCACAAGTGGGGAAGGGGCATAGAGAGAGAGGAGGATAGAGGATCTGAAGCAGGCTCTTCCATGAAAGAAGTGAGCCTGATGTGGGGCTTGAACTCATAAACTGTGAGATCATAACCTGAGCTGGAGTCGGACATTCAACAAAATGAACCACCCAGGTGCCCCCAACACATCATCTTTTATGAGTGCATATAATTGCTTGTCACTTAATCTCACTAGGATTGTTTTAAAAAGGGATTTCAACAGGTGTTGGTGAGGATGTGGAGAAAAAGGGACCCTCGTGCAATGTTGGTGGAAATGCCAACTGGTACAGCCACTGTGGAAAACAGTATAGAGATTCTTCAAAAAGTTAAAAATAGAACTACTCTACAACCCAGCAATTACACTACTAGGTATTTACCCAAAATTACAAACGCACTAATTGAAGAGTATTATGCTAAGAAAGAATTACAGGCCAATATCCCTGACGAACCTGGCTGCAAAAATTCTCAACAAGATACTAGCAAATCATATTCAACAATACATTAAAAGAATTATTCACCATGATCAAGTGGGATTCATTCCTGGGCTGCAGGACTGGTTCAATATTTGCAAATCAATCAACATAATACATCACATTAAGGGATAAAAAGAAGGGATCACAAGAAGGGATAAAAACCATATGATCCTGTCAATAGATGCAGAAAAAACATTTGACAAAATACAGCATCCTTTCTTAATAAAAACCCTCAAGAAAGTCAGGATAGAA